CCACGACTATTGCTGCAACGTGACATTCAGCTCTTTAAAAACTAAAAATAAAATAAATGGTATCTGGTATGGTGCTCTGGGCCCTTGTGGGGAACAAGAATGAGGTCTGCCAGCTACCTCCACCTTTTACAGTAAATCATCTCCAGTCAAAGAATAATGTCCTGGAGAAGTACAAATTTTGATACCTGAATTTCAGTGTTCATTTCACCAACAATTTTTAGTTTTCAGTTTTTAAAGGCAAGGAAATTAAATGGGGAAAAGTATGCCCTATGCTAATCCACCAGTTAAACTCACAGGGAACTGCAAAAGATAAGGTTCCCATAGCAATTGGAATAGGTACTGCATTGCACAGATGAGGGCAGATTTTCCTACTTACTTTCAGTGCTGGTGGTTTATCTCCACACAGCACAGGGAAAAGCAATTACTTGGAACGAGGAACAAGGGAAAGAAGCCTGTGGCATCTCTGATTCTTTTTAACGGCCATTCTCCGGCGTGGTTTGATGCGCCGCTGTTGCAACACAGCCGTGCACGGGCGCGTATGCTCTCGACCATGGCAAAGCTCCTGCAGGGATCCTGCCACTGTCTTTCCCTGTGGTTTTAACTGTGAAATTCTGATAGGCATTCAAGCTGGTTTTGGCAGGGAGTTTTACAGCCCCAGCCTCCACAGGACAGAGCTGTGTGGCACCGCACCAAATGCCGCATCCGAGCGCAATCCCTCCCAGCCATCGCCTCACATTCACGGCTACCCTGGCAGCGAGAGACCTCTCATTTGACACAATCTGCTTCCAATGAACCCCTCTTTCCTATTAATTATCGCGTTACCTTCCCTGAGCTTATGATTATTGCACCCGATTATGTCTTCCTTATCCCCTGAGCAGTCATCTGCAGCAAAGCCAAGGGGGCACAGTCCTTCTCCTCCCTCTCCCCAAAGCTGCTCTGCAGCACAGAATCAGGCCCATCAACACCTTCATTAATTCCTCCACAAAATGCCCCAGCTAAATTTGTGGGCATGCAGTCCCCAGGGTCTCATTTACCCCTGCTGTTCTGCAGCCCATTTTTTTTACCAACTGCTTCGGGACTTTTCCTGTACTCCATGAATTTTCTGAAAGAATTGTCAAATACTCAGCTGTTTCACTCTCGGAGGTGTCTTCACCGGCCCATAGAGTTTCGATCAAGAGCGAGTCCCCTAAATAGTTATTCCTCACCCCTTTTCCATCCTGAGACAGCCATGAGATCCATCATCAACTATGCCTGATTGCATCGAGCACCCTGCCACTCTCTTCCCTTCCAGTGGCAACTGAAGCTGTAACTACTGACACTGCAGCCTCCTTTTATCATTGCTGATGGTACGTTCCTGGCTCCCTCTCCCTCGTGCAGAGGTGACCTGGCAATGCACTTTCTTTTGACATCCTCCAGCTTCTCATGCACTTCTGAACCAACTTACTTATTCCCTGCACTAACACCCCATCGGTTTGTGCCTTTGCATCCCTAACTTTGCTCCTGCACACCTTTATTCTCTGCTCTCTCTCTCACCACTGTGGTTTCCTTTCCTCCTCCCAACATGACCGCTTTGTTTTTTTTTTTTCCTTTTCCTTTTCCCTTTTTGTTAATCCATTGTTTTTCTGTTCCCCACCAGCGTCAGTACAGGAGGACACTTCTGACAAGTGTTGTTGCCCTCTCCCCAGCTGCTGACAGGGAGCGTTGTCCCCAGGGAGTCAAAAGAAACGCTGTCACTGGTGGGTGCAGCCAGCTGGCTGGAAGGAGAAGGTGTCCCAGATGCTTCTGCCTCAGGCTTGAAGGAGAGAAGGGAAGAGCCCAGGAGAGAAAAGAAACCGCTTTGGGAAGGAGAGAGCAAATCAGTCCGGGGCATGGAGGAGACATCCCCGGTGCCTTAGAAGTGGGTTTCTCTCTCTGTGATGCTGAGCACCTCCTGAACCGGAGGGGACCATCCCTTGCGCTTCAGTTCGGACGGGCCTGCCATGTGCTTCTTGGGCTGTGGCAGATCCTCCGCCGGGGAAATCAGCTGCATCAGCCGCTGCGGAGAGGAATTTGCTGTTAATTAAGCTGATAAACAAACTGACACCCGATAGCGATCCACAACCATTGCTGGGGGCAAAGGCATCTGGAGAGCTAATGCTCCCAGCTCCCTGTTCCTCTCCTGCCGAATGGCTGGGAGAGGGAGAGGAAGGAGAGCAGGCTCCCTCTAACTGCTCTCCATGACGATTATTCCACCTCTGGGCTCAAACCCGGGCCATGGACTGACAACCCAACGTACAGGGCCCCTCACAGACCTGGTTCTGGGAGAAAGGATGTTAGCGACTAGCCCCACAGGCATCTTCTGTGGCCATGTAAAAACCACCGTAAAGCCCTTTTTCCCCTCCCCGTGCCAAGCAGCCACGCTTCCCATTGACTTTTGGTGAGAGCTTTGGGCAAAAGGTGCTGGCCCACAGAGAGGGCTGCTGCGAATTCCTGATCTTTTTCATCCTGTTTCTGAAGCCCCTCTGGCATCACACACCTTCCTGAGCACCTGGTCTCCTCCCAAAGCCAAACAATACACAGTGTCCTGAAGCCACTTCCCCACGGGATACCGACTTCCACAGTTACTAACGCCTTCCATCACAAG